GCCTGGCGCCGGCCTCCTTGCGGCCGACCCGGAGGTGGGGCAGAAAGGCCAAGCCGGGGTGGGAGTAGTCGCTTGCGAATCAGCCTCAGGGAGACACGGGGAGAGGCTGCAGAGGTCGGGGGGCAGAAAGCCGGGTGGTTCTCGGCAGGGACAGGGCTGGGGGCCGGTGGCGCTGGCGCGGGAGATCAGCGCCGCTGGGGACGGTGGAACCTGGTCCCAACTATGGCGGCCGGGGAACGCTGGACCCGCCCCTGGAAGAACACCCCCTGCGTCTACGCGGGCTGACAGCCGTCGCTCCGGTCCCCAGAAGGCAGAGGCCGGCGAGGACAGGGCACCTCACCTGGTGGAGGACGCTGGATGGACGCGGAGAACCACCGAGGCTTCTTGACGGTGACCGTGAGGTTGAAGGTGTCGCATCTGCTCACGGCGACCTCGAAGTCTAATCCGCAAGACTGGTTGCTCCTTGCCTGAGAAGACAGAGGCCCAGTGCGTCCAGAACATTCCGTCCGACGTTGCCAATTTCGTGTGCGTCGGTGCCAAATCCGTGTCGCTGGCAGCCTGAGGCAGGCGGTGCCGCGCCCCGGCCCAAGGCCCACGCGCGATTTTCCGGGTGTCGCCAACGGGAGGCAGGAAATAGCGTGGAGGGGAAAATGGGGAGCACGGTGCTGTTGGGGGACAGCCGGCTTTTCCCGTGCGGTCGAGCAATTTTCCACTGTTGCAGCTCTCAGAATGTGCAAACCTTTGCGGACCAGGTGGGGGGCGGTCTTATGGCGCCGTGGGGGTCACCGGCTTCCGTGAACACCCCCACGTGCTAATAATAGTGGGGACACAGCGCTCGTGCGGCGTTTGGGGAGGTCCCTGGCCCTGACTTCGCTTGCCCTCATTTGCGGCAACATGGATGTACTGATGCACACAAAAACTGGGGTACAGGCCACAGCTGCGGAGACGGGGGGCGGGGAGAGGGCTCCCCAGAGACACAGCGGGGTCAGCCCCGACTTTCCTGCAAGTTTGGCCACGGGTGGACGCCGGAGGTTTCGAAAAGCCGTTTCTGCTGCTACCGAGTTGACGTTTCGCCTCTGGGCTGCAGGGTCGCGCCGGTGGGCCTGGGGGGGTCAAACCGTCCTTGCCGGCCGTGGACGCTGTCCCCAGGCCTCAGCCCCGACGGGGCCGTGTCCCGTGGGGGGACGGCGGCTCACCTGTGTTTCGGGCTTGCCGTTCACAGAACAGGTGATGTCGGACGCGTTTCCGTTCAGGTCCCAGGTGAGTATCTTCCGCTGTGGGTCCACCCTCAGGTTCTGGATGGGCCAGCCGGGGTCTGCAGCGTCGGAGGGGGGCTAGTGAGCGCGTGCACTGAGCGCTATTTGCGGGGTCCAGAAGGAGGCCCCCAAATAGGACCAAATAGGACAATCCCTCCGGAGACGGCAGTCAATACTGGGTGACCCCCAGCAGCGAGCGAGTGGACACCCCTGGGGACAGAGTTGTCTGTGCTGGGTTCGTGCGCGATTTAGCATTTTTGGATTACGGGGGGCCCGGGGGGTTGACGCCATGAGACGCAAGTGGGGAGAGCAGAGGTTGAGCCCAGTCGGGCAGCTGAATGTCCACTCCGCCGTGCTGGACGGAGAGGACCAAGTTGCATCTTGAAAGTTCCCAGGAAGGGCAGGCCCCGCGCGCCTGGGTCTCCGCACCCCAGTGCGCGCCGTCCCCCGCGGGCCTGG